TTTGACCTCCAGGTTTTTCAAATTTGTTTGGGCTTTGCCTCTGATCCATGTTTTCCATCTCTATATGTTCCAACTCAAGATACTTCTTCGATCGAGCTGTGAACTCTACCAACGTCTGAACCGGGTTCTTATATATAGACTTAGTGATATGCCTCCAGCATTTATATAAATCTTAGCCAAAAAGAGAAAGAATATTGATTAATCTTGAATAAAAAGGTAATATTTACTATTGATTTGTTAAAATCTCAATCAAAGATGGTACAGCTGATTTTCTTTCGATTTTGTAGGAAAAACAGGACAATAAGGAGCCAAATTTGGAAGTAAGAAATCGAAGTCCCACGCTACTAGCATAAAACTCACGCTAGTAGCGCCAGAAACAAAAATCAGCCAGAGACATCCACGCTCACAGCGTGAAACTCACGCTAGTTGCGTCACAACCCACGCTCACAGCGTGGGAACCACGCTAGTTGCGTGGGCTTCCAGAACTGTGAACAAAACTCCCACGCTATCAGCGTGGGAACCACGCTAGTAGCGTGGGAGGTGCGGACAATCAGCATTAAATCTTTTTCTGCATCAGCGGAAGATTAGACAGAGATTTACGACAAAGATTCAATCAAGATTTCTACATAAGGTCATAAACTCTATAAATAGAGACTCAGACCTCAGAGAAAAAAATCTTTGGCTGGAGAGAACTCTTGGAGGCTCACGCTGAAGATTAGGATTCCGATGGAGTTGAAGAGCGAAGACTATTGATCCTTCATCTTCTTCTTCTTCTTCTTCTTTTATTGTTTTCATGAATACTTTTTATTTCTTTAATTTGTTTAAGCCAGCTATGTCTGGCTAGTTTGTTTTTGTAGTTGGGATCACGGACCCGATGTGAATCCTTTATATTTTCTGTATTGATATTTTATAAGTTAATTAGTTAGTTTGTTTTATTCTACCTGGTTTAATTTTTCATATCCTGTTTAGAACTGATCACTCTAAATTATAGGACTTTAAGGGTTAGAATTCACAATAGACATATTGGGGTTTTAATCTGGACAAGGGTAGAATAATAATTTGTGTATGATCTAGACATAGGCTTACATAAATTGCAGACTCATAATCATTTGCTTAATGCTTAATTCAAAAGGGATTACTAAGACATTAGAATTCTAATTGGATTAAAGGGTTGAAATCACTAAGACATTAGGGTTCAACTATTTTATAGAGAAATAATGAATTGTCTAAACAAACGAATTAATTAATTATAAGATACAATATAGGAATATAAGGGAGGAATGGAGGTGAAGTGTATCCTGGCTACATACTTTTTATAAATTTTTCATCAATATTTTCTTGCGTTCTTGATATCTTTTCTTGCATGCGTTGGAAATTAATTGTTTTTAATTTTCTGTTTTAAATATTATTTTATTTTAAATTTTGTTTTTAAATTATAAACACTCAATTACTTTCACAAACCAAACCAATTTTATTTTCCAACTTAAGGGGAATAGTTAAACTAGTACTTGGTGCATTAATCCTCGTGGGAACGATACTTTACTTATCACTTTATTACTTGAAACGAACGGTATCTTTGTCGATTTTGCAACACTTAACCAGTCTAGAGGATCTATGTAAGCATGCTATCACTAGATGTATATGGACATTCTCGGATAAACCTGAAACTTGTAAGGCCGCCTCTTTAAAGCAATCCAAGCATCTCTGTAGAGTTTTGCCGGGTTGCTGCTTTATCTTTCCCAAAGCAAATTCTAATTTTGGCTACTTTTTGCTGGTGGCGAAGTTCAGCAAAAACCTTCCACCAAATTCTTCAAAGGATCTGATAGAGCCAGCTGGTAATGATGAAAACCACATCTGAGCTGCACCCGTTAGGGTGGTTGTGAAAAGTCATGTGATTAACGGTTCCTCGATCCCTTTGATATACATAGCCGTATCTAAGGCATCCAAATGGACATGAGGGTCCTGGGTACCATCGTACTTCGCCAGCTCTGACAAGTTTATATTTTCTGGAAAAGGTGCACCAACAATTTCGTCCTTTATCATTATATTGCCCCTTGTTGAACTTCCTCCGGTATACCGCGAATACATCATCCGGGTTTACATTCTGTTGCCTGTTGACATAGGTTATTTTCTGGAAAAGGTGCACCAACAATTTTCCGTTTGTCTTTCTGGGTTACTCCTTCCACCTCTGCTCCCGCCTTGTCGCACCTATCGATTCTGTACCGGGTTAGGAATCACTCTCTGGTCCCTACCCGAAATATTCCTTGCTTGACCTGGGCCACTCCCACGATTACCATTGTCTTGATGAGGATTTGTGATCCTCAAATCAGTCATGACTTGTGATATCACCTGCGCAGGATCCGGATTCCTAGCTTGCCATAGCCGAGCTTCTAGATCTCGGATCTGCCGCGCATCCTCTTCTCTTTGTAGCTCGTTTCTTCTTTCCATCTCATCCATTCTTCTGAGTACCGCAACAACAGCCAGATCTGTCATTCGTTGATCCTGATTAACCACATTATGTATCTGCCCAACATTCAGAGTCTGTACTCCAATCGGTTGGAGTACCTCTACATATGGCGCATTGGGATTTCCTGCTGGAATTGACACTGAGTCTGAATGCACATCACTAACATGGACAGCGTTGGTGTCCACGTGCTGGTGATTGTCAGGCATATGTTGCCCTGAAGGATCCTCTCTAATTACAGGGATCTGCTCATGTCTAGCATTTGATACTGATGGCTGTCGGTAACCGCTTCTGGTTATACGTGCCATCTTTGATTTGGATCTTTTTAGATTTCGTGGGTGTTTGTTCCCCACAGACGGCGTCAATGTTCTGCCTGAATGACAGAGATGTCTAACCGTAGGTTAGTTAGTTGATCTAGGATCTGGTGCTCTCTCTAGATACCTATGAATTGGATCTGGTGCTCTCTCTAGATACCTATGAATTATGTATTTTGGGGGTAGCAAATCACAACACATTGTATATTGGCCTTAGCCAAAGAGGGGGTGCTTTGTGTGCTTTGTGTTTGCATATAATAGGTTAAAGAGAGATCAGTCATACCTGTGGTCTTTAGCCCTTATTTATAGAGCTTACCTTGGGCTTCAAGTTGTTTGGACCTTCTGAGGATATGGGCCTTACCCAGGTCCATAACACTTCCCCAAGCTCTATCCCTTAATAAAGCTTCCATTATTTTTCTCATAAGACTATCACCATTAAACAATGGTGTAAGGAGGATATTTTTCAAGTTTTTTTTCACTCTCAAACACTCTACCATTGAATGGTGGGATGCGATGACCGGAATATAATACGAATTTGGGAAAGCCTCACCTTAGCCCATGAGATAGGAGATCCCAAAGTCCAAATAAACTTCACATTAATCACTCATATAACTAATATGAGACTCAAGTTCCATACCTTGCAATTGGATCATAACACCAAGCTATTACGTTCACCTATTTTAGAAGAAAATAGAGAGATTTAAGTTCAACTGAGACCTCAAGTACACAAATAAGTGCACAGAATATTTTTTTTATTTGATCATCTTTATTTCAGTATTTCAAGGTTTAAATAAATAATACAAATCAATCATAAAAATAACTACCTACTAACACTAGATAGACTCCACTAATAGCTATGACATATTTTTTAATAAAGTTGAAACTCAAATAACAAAATAACCATCCACTACTTAAACAACCCAACAATTCAAAAAATAATAAAATAATAAAAATAACCATAATATTTTCTCCCCCTAAAGAAAGATCAACACAAGTGATTGAATCATCTACAATGTCCATATCCGCCTCTCCTTTACTGTTTGGTGGTAGGAACTAGAGCATCTAGCTAATTAGAGAGTTTGGTGAATATCTCCTTCAATTGAGTAGAAGTGCATCTTCTACTTTTTCCAATTGTTTTTCTATAGTGTCTAACTCTTATATCAATTGAGACGAATTTTGAAAAACTTTCACCCCAAAAGCTAACCTATAAAATAGAAGCGTCTAAAATCCATATAAACCTTACATTATTCATCTATATAACCAATGTAAAACTCAAGTCCCATATCATCGTAACATAATAAGTTCTTTCTTGTTCGGTTACTCTAATCTCTTCGCTACAAATCGCTTTACAATAAACAATAGGGGCAATTTGTTTCAAATTTCGGTGCTATATTTGACAGAATTTTACCCATGAAAATTGTTGAACGCTGAATAGGACTTGCTCGGCAACAACGCTTTGGAACCTTCATGACTTGCGAAAGAATCGGAAGTGCAGAGCATGTGAATAACAGAGAAGAGAGACGAGGAGAAGTAGATTTCCGATTTATGGGAAAGGGTGTCAAGAGGGAAATTAGGGAAAAAATGGAGATGGAAAGCGAAATAAAGAACACGGAAATGAAAATAAAAAAGAATTTTAAAATTATAATGCCAAGTAGGATTAGTCTAGTGGTGGGGTGTGTGAGTTAGCTGTATGTAGTGTAAGGTTGTGTGTTCAATTGTCATGTAATGCAAAAAAAAAAAAAAAAAATCAACGAAAGTAGTACTGAGTTTTTAGTATTACTGTTAGCGGGTTTGGTATGCGATATTCTACAGGATCTTCGGAAAACTAAATTTTTTTAAATGTTTAATTTTTGAATATTATCATAAACTGAAATGTAAAAATTATATTTATAAAAATTAAGATTCTCGGATAAAAAAAAAATTCTCCTTTACCAATTGTGGATAAAATTGATATAATTATGGATAAAATTGTGGGTACGGCAGAAAAGTCAACACCAATTGCACAAGCAAGCATGTTTTCAAGATACAGAGCCTAGTAAGCATTCAAAACGTGATACATTATTTAAATAAAAAAACGCCAAGGTCCAAACTATTAGCAAACAAACTTGACCTTGTACATGCTTATATAAAGCATTTCATTATGTTGTGCTACTCCAAGTTCTCTAATCTGCAATCCCCCACCAACCCTTTTCCTTTCACATCTTTACACTGCGATTTTATCAATCAAAATCTTATCTTTCACATAAAAGGATTCAGCCATGTTTAGATCCTTGACTACTCGGAGAGGCCCTGGAAGGTATGAGAGATTAGGTAAAGAATCTGCTTCCACTGCACTTTTGAATGAAGGGTTCAAGAGGAGCACAAGTTTGCCTTCTCGAGCATCAAGTTCTTCAAGAAAAATGGCTCTAGGTTCAACCTTTGGGGACATCAATCTACAAAGAAACCCAACAAAGAAGGGTAATAATAGCAACAAGAAGAGTCACCCACTCCTTAGTTTCTTGGATCTTCGTAGGAAAAAGAAAACAACAGCTAAGCCTGAATTTGCAAGGTATCTTGAGTATCTCAAGGAAGGAGGCATGTGGGATATGAATTCCAATCAGCCTGTGATCTATTACAAATGATAGCTTGCTTCGGGTTTGAATATATAATTTTACTATTTCTTGTAAGAATTTAGAATTTGATTCTCATGTCAAATTACTTTGAGAAGATGTGGAGTATTGTTGGTATCTTTATTATTCATCATTAATTTGAATCAATTGCAAACATACAAGTTCACCTACCTGCTTTCATTAGGTTCTAATAATACAGTTTGTGTTATTTTGGTGGAACTGACAACTTTACTAATTAAATTATGGGTTTAGTGTATTTGCTTTTGTTGTAGAAAAAATTTCTATCATACTCACATAAAAGTAACTGAATCCTATTATAAAGAGAAGAAAGAAAAAATTAGTGAAATCCATTCATTTTTATGTATGTGATAGAGAAATTTTCAAAAATAAAATAAAAAATCTGCATGATCGAAAATAGTACGATAGATTATTCAATTGGATAAAAGTGTTTTACTAAGTAGGTACTTGATAATAATTATTTTTTAATATCAACTTTATGTTTTTTTTTTTGTTTTTCTTTCGGGGAAATACTTTATGTTTTTGTTTTATTTTGGATAAATTACAACACATTTGATATCATTAGGTGAAATTAATTATAATTAGTGATTAATTTTGGCATACACTAAAAACACATCATATTTTTGAAAAGCTAGCTACCATACGTCATGAGAAACGAAAGCAACTCGGTCTTCTAGTGATGCTAAGTGCTAACAGACGTAGGATATGGCTACTTAGTATGTCTAAATATTGTTAAGATTTGATGAGGCAATCTCAACTATGAACGCAGCCATTGGTTAGTTATAGTTAGTTTCATAATAAATTAATAATAAAATTACTCAAGTTCAATCATAACAAATCAGAACTTAGTTGAACCAATTAGTTTATTACATTGAACTAACAGATCATGAATATGTTTTTTAATGAAAAATTAATTTGTTTTTCATAATTTGTAAATTAATTTTTTACTTGTCATATTATTTTTTGTAAATCATTTTAGACATATTTTTTTAAATTGATTAATCAATTTAAAGAGTTGAACATGAATGAGAAGTCTCAATTTATTATTTAGTGTGATTTTAATAATATTGATATTTTCACTTAATTATTATTTTATTTTATTTTTTATGAAAATGGAGGGAGGGTTTGGCATTAGGTGATTCTGGGCCATTAAATTTTCTCTCTATTGGAATCCATTATAGACTAAAGACAGAGAAAAAAAAAATTCCTACAAGATATAGTGATTACATTTACTTTCCCCAACTTATTACGTGCAGTAGATACAGCAATAAGTGCATGTGAGGGAGAAATTTGCATGTGAGGGAGAAATTTTTTAATATGGTCCAGGATTACCATCGTCTTTCCATTAATAAATGCAACATGGATTTTTTATTTTTATTTTTATAGTCTCTTTTCTCTTTGTCTCACTTCTGCCCCACCAATTATTCCATGGGCCTAGAGCACACAAAACCAGCTCATGTGAGGGGTGACAAAATGTGTCACAACCGTTCTTATCATGTCAAGATCTGATTTGTGGGTGAAACCATCCAACCCAAACAGGACATCTATTTGTTTAAGGGATCTATTAATCTCATGCAATTATCTTATGCAACATAGATAAAATTGTGAGGTCCACTACATTTTCAAAAAAAGAAAAAATAATGAAATAGTGAATCCCACTATTTTGTCTGTGTTGCATGAGATAATTGTCTCATACAACATGAGACAATTATTTTCCTTTGTTTAATGGGTCAAAAATTCAAATGACAAGATTGTCCATGTAGACACCAAAAATTGTCCGAGAAATTCAAATAAAAATTAAAAAATAAAGAGGTTTGGTTAGTGTTACAAGGCACCCTAATTGCTTGTGAAAATAGAAAAAGGTTGACCAAAAATAGAACATTGAAAGGATCTCCGTATGATTTGAGCAAGGCACCCTTAATGCACTGTTTGTCAACTTTTTTATCTAAATATCACACAAACAGTGTTATTTTTCAATCTGTCACGGGAGCAAATTCGCTACCTGATGTAACGAACTCAATTTGCTACATTTCTAGTGAATAATAAATCTCAAATTAAAAAAAAAAAATTTTAAAATTCGCTATATTGGATAACCAACTTGGTTAAAACCAAGTTTGCTACCCTTGAAGGGAACTTAGTGTCCAGTCTTCCTACCTATTACCCATCATATAGAACAAGAGAAGCTCTTTTTTTTTTCTTCCTCTATAAAAATCAGAAACACATAGCAAAGAGAAACTTTTTTTTGGGCTTATGGTTACTCTTTAAAAAAGAAAATATCAAAAACTAGAAAAAAGAAAGGTAAATAAATCTCAAGCTTCTCAGCATCCAAGCACTTTGAAAATCAAAATTCTTTAAACCCAAATCCAGAAAAATCAATACAGTAAGTGTGTGTGCTCCATTTACTGAACCACCATAAACCCATAACCATCAACTTTCATATCCAACAAAACCCAACACAGTAAAAAGTTTGTGATGCTGATCGGAGCACCACCGCGTGTCACTGTGCCACCACCGCCAGCCATCACGAGCCACCGCGCGCACAGGCCGGAGCACCACCGAGCGTCACCTCGCCACTGCATACACCATCACGCCACTACGCACACCGCCTTTCTTCCGCTCGTGCCACCTTTCTAGTCAATAGGTGATCTTCATTTTCCTGCTTACCGCTATAAACTGTTGCTACCCAACCACATGACCATCTTGTGCCTATTAGGTTTTTAGTATGATATGTTTGTGTGGGTTATTTCTAAGATGATGGAAAGAAAAATGGGCTAAGCCCATTATGTTAAATGGATGGCAAAAGTTTTTTTAAAAAAGAACCCATTTTTGCAGATGTGATCTTACAAATGGTCCGTGAATCTTTTTCTCTTTAGTTACATGTTTTAGGTTTCTTTTTATGTAAAACCCATTTACGTATGTTTACGCTCCTCCTTATTATAATTTGTTAGGTTTCTTTCTGCATATTGGTTATGTTTCTTGTTATTTATGTTTGAAATTTAATTGCATGTTTATTAAGAAATTTTAAAATTACAAAAAAAAAAATTAAAAAAATAATAATTGGTAGTCTGTTTATTGTTTGCTTATTTATCCTTGTGACATGTTTTTACTAGTGCGATTAAATATTTTTAAAATATAAATTACTAATAAATTTCGTTCAAATCCACGCAATGATTTATAACATTGATGTATGGTCTTCCATCCTCAAATGTTGTATTTATCATATGGGTACACGTATAGCCGTGATATCTTATACCCGTGCAATGTGGAGTTATATATATATATATATATATATATATATATATATATATATATATATATATATATAGGTAGGATACTTTGACGCTAGTGTCAAATTTAAAGTTTGACACCTCATATGAGAGCCATTAGATAAAAAAAATCAATGGTGTCACATGCTTACAAATCAGAGTCATTGATTTTTTGTGATCTAATGACTCTCAGATGAGGTGTCAAATTTCTAATTTGACATTGGTGTCAAAGGATCGTACCTATCATATATATGTATGTATGTATAGGGATTTACATTTCTACAGCTGTTGTACGTGCAACAGTCAAATACTTGCTATATATACACGTGAAAGTATTAAATGTGGGGAATCATAACTGTACAAAAGATGAAAGCATTAAATGTGGGAAATCATAACCATACACCTGTCATTGTTGTACGTTAAGTGGCTGTAGAAATGATTTTACCATATATATATATATAAGCAAATATTTTCAAGATCCAAACAACGATTTACAACGTTGATGTATGGTTTTCCATCCTCAAGTGTTGTAATCTTTGTAAGAATTTACGTATAGCCCTGCTACCTTAAATTCTGAGCTATGATGGATTCATTTTCAAAATAATTAATGATATTTTTTAAAGTTATTTTCAAAAATTAAAATCAACCAACACACAAATATTTTTTACAAAACGACGTAGCTTTGAGTTTCCTATTGCACCGAGGGATACATAGAAGCGGGACTCATACTGTCAAGCACGAAAATAAACTTTTCAAAATTAGTTTTGTTTTCTTTAATCAATTTAGTTCAATTCTTTAGGGTGAAATAAATATGAGTTTGGTGTTTGTCATTTTAAATGACATAAGTTATGTCATTTTAAGAGAGATAGACACAAGGAATGAAAATTATGGGAGAGAAAGTAAGTATTTTTTTTAATTTAAATTTTAAATAAAAATATTTTCTTGTGTCTATCTCTATTAAAATGACATAATTTTATGTCATTTAAAATGACAAATATTTTTCATAATAAATATTTCAAATCTTATGAATAATTTGCACAATTAATATAAGGTAACTGTTTTTTTTAAACAAACGATGTGGGGTGCTAATACCTTCCCTACTCGCAATCGGCTCCCGAATCCATTTATGTTTTCAAAGACCAAATTTCAAACAAAAAGGGTTTTTTTCAATGTTTTCACAAATAAATCTTGGTGGCGACTCCATTATTTTTAAACTTTCAATTTTTCACCATCATGCCGCGATCAGTTTGCGACAGTCCATAAGTCGGCAAATCACACGTGTTGTTGATATATAAAAATGTGAAAGAGGGGTGAAGGAATGTGATTAACCAAATTTGCACACAAAGTCGTCCAATAGCAAAGAGGGAGATTGAATTGGAAAGAAAGAGATCGAGAAATATTAAGGAGGTGTGATGATTCTTCTTTACAACGACATTTTGTTGCGGTCGATCAACACATGAATGAAGGGAGAATCCCCTTTGACTGAAAAAATCCAGTAAAATTAAATTTTAGAGTATTGTCTGACCATACCGATTTTATATTGGTTTGAAACTGAGTAGCAATCATAGTACAAAAATCAAGAAATACAAAGAGTACATCACATTTTACATGTAAAAAATAAACCCAGGCGTAGCAACTGCAATTATATGGTTAAAAAATAGCAAAAATCATCAATAAACAACATAGAAAGAGTGCATAGACATGGCACGACTTCAGGTACGATAATTG